CCTCCTGCAGCCGCTGCGCCGCCCCCTCCCCCGCGGCCGCGGGGCCCGGGCCTTGGCGCGCGTCCGGACCTCCGCCGTGCGCTCCTCGAGCGGCCACAAGGGGGGGGGGGCGGGGGGCGAACTCTGGCCGCAGTCCTAAGCTTCGGGTGTTGCTAGACCTCCTCCTCCTCCTCCTCCTCCTCCTCCTCCTCCTCCTCCTCCTCCTCCTCCTCCTCCTCCTCCTCCTCCTCCTCCTATTCATCCTTCTCCCCTGGCCCAAGGTACCCCCAGGATTCTCAGAGTGGCCCAGACGGCCTCCAGGGCACCCCTCACGAGGCCCAGAGGGCCCCAGGGGCTCCAAAACGGAGCGAAAAGCTGGGGGCACCTTGGGCTAGGGGCACTTCTAGCAACACACGAAAGCTCCATCCCTCCCTACAGCCATCGGCCTGACCGAGGGAGCGATAAGTAAGGAACGAGGCCCTTTGTCCCAGGGAACAACGCAAAGCGAACGATGAATTATCAAAAGCGCACAAAGAACGAAAAATAACGCATGAATACGGAACGAAACCCCTATCTTCCAAGGAACAACGCACAAGGAACGATCAATTATCAATAGCGCACAAGCAACGATAAATGACGCATGCAAACCTGAGGAACGACCGAGCCCCTTTTGAAAAGCAAGCGCTCCTTATGCAAGCCGCTCACTGTGCTCCCCGCCCAGCCCCCGCGCCCCCCCTCCCTCCATTATCCCTATCCTCGACGCTGCCGTCGTGCCCCTTTCATGGCAGGAGCCTCGCGGGCGCTCCTGCGGGAGCCTCTTGAATGAAGCTGCCAGGCTGGACCAAAGCACGCTCGGAGCAGTCAGCATTCGCCAGTGCTATACCTTGCAGCGACCCCACCCATGGGCAAACAGCAGAACGGCGGCACGTAGAACTCTCTAGTGGCTTGGGCACTCTCGCCGAAATGTGGCAACCCCTCCATGTATTTTTGTCGCATCGCGGCAGGCACGCCGTCGACATTTGCAACCGGTGCCAACTACGACTCAAGCCATTTTGGCTCAGGGCTCAAGCCACGAGCGGTTCGAGCTCTCCTCGGGGGTAGCCGCAGCAGGGGTGGGGTGAGACCCCTCCACTTCCCATGTCTTGCGATGGCCCGTACGAGCTCGCGAGCGCCAGGGACACCACTTCGGGGAGTTCTCGAGCGCGACGTTCGGCAGCGGCTGTTCAGCCCGCTGCACACTGCGAACGGAGACGATGGGGACAAAGAGGCGAGACCGGCGGCCTCCACGCATCCTGATGCCCGCCAGGGGCCCGTCACCCTCGAGGCTGTCGCAGAGCTCTTGGACGAGAAGTTCGACGAGCGACTTCGGCCTGGACTTGACACAGTACGGGAGCTCCAGGACGATGTCGCAAGAGTGGAGGCTAACGTGGACAACATGTTCGAAGGGATGGAGGAAAAGAACGCAGCGCTGCTGAGCAAGATCGAGGCTGTGAACGAGGATCTCCAGAGGTTCAAGTAACAGCAACACGCCCAAGAATTGGGAGGGTAGGGAGCCCACAAGACACGCAGCTCCATCATGACCTTACACAGCAGATCGCGCAGCTGGAGGGCCAGATGCGCACCCTCGTTCAGACCGACACCGATGACACCATGCTGATCGCTGTCTTCGGCTGGCTGGAGAGCATGGGGGACGAGCGGGGAGCATCCAAATGGATCAAAGACAGACTCTGGGAAGGACATGTTGCACTAGCTAGCAGAAGCTGTTCAGGAACTCGATTGCGGCTCTGATCATAGAGCGGTGCTGGCTTTGGCGACCCTTCCTCGCCAGGATCAGCAAAGGGCGCGGCGAACCAAGCCGAAAGCGCGTTGGCAAGGGTCACCATCGTACCAACCAGCGGTCACGGAACTGGTCGAGACTGGGGCCATCAGGTCGTTGAGTGGCGCACACGAGCGTGCACAAACAGCAGCCGAGCCTTCAGGCGCGACCACGACCGGCCGCGCGACGGCGGGCGAGGCACGGCTGCGCTCAGAGAGCCAAGACAGCAAAGGCGAGACTGCAGCGATCGTCACGGAAGGGCGCGTCTTTCGAGGATCATCGCGACGGACCCCCGGCGCCTCTTGAGGAAGTGGCAGACGGACCGATTCACGGAACAGCTGTCGAGATTCAAGGAACTGGGGCAACTCCAAAGAATCAATACCGGGACTGTGAAGAGACACACGCGTCGCAGAGACCAGCAACTCGTGAGTCTGCCGATGTTTTGGAGGCAGTGTATTCTTGCAGCGAGCAGCCGCACGACCTCGGAGATGCTTCGCTACTCGCGCAGATCCCAGAGTTCGGCGTTATCGAGCTGAGGAAGGCGCTCAAACAGATGTCTGAAGGCAGACGCGCGGATAAGCACGGTGCAATCTTGGAAATGATTGCGACAAGTGGCGCTTCATTGCAAAACGCTTTACTTTTTGAAATCTTCAACCAAATCTCGCGCTCGGGGGACCTGATGGAAGACTGGAGCAAACTCTTGTTTATCATGCCTCCCAAGCCGGGCTCGGGTGATAAGATTAGGTCGGGCATGTCCCCCTACAGGCGGATTTGGACGGGAAAAAAAATACTCCAAAATGATCCAAAATAGTCAAAAAAAATCGCCCCCTCACTATGTTTTAATATTTTTGAGTACTCACCCTGTAGAGGGACAGGCGGCCCGACTTAGTGATAAGGCAGAACCGAGCAACTGGCGGCCCGTCGCAAACATTGGACGCCACAGCACAAGATGTTTTGTCAAAGATGCTGCACAACCGGCCGAAGCCCATCTTAGACGGCGAGCAACCCTCTGAACAGACGGGTTTTAGGTCCAAGACGGGCGTCGATCACGCCCTCCTAGTGTTGGAGTGCGTCGTAGGCCTCATAGGCAGCTCTATCGAATGGAACACTCTGGTCTGGATCGTCAGCATAGGTCTGAAAAAGGCCTGTGATAGGGTTTTCTACAGTTCGCTGTTTGACGTTTTGTGGGAGCAAGAGGTCGACGAGTCCTACCTCGCGCTGCTGGCGCGGCTGTACTCTGGGTAGTCTGGTAACGTCGATGGACAAACGTCGTTTCCTACCCGCCCAGGTGTGCGCCAAGGAAACATACTCAGCCCTGCTTTGCTCAACGCCGCGTTAGAACCTGAGTTGCGGCAGTGGAGAGCCAGAATGCGCAGCTGCGGCCTGCTCCTGGACAGCGCTCCCGACATGCTCACGAAAATCAGGTGTGCGTTTTTTTCGGCGTTTCGACATTGGGCGGCAAGGGGGAGGGGGGTCTGGCTCCGGACCTATGCTTAGTGCGACTGCTTGCAGAAGTGCGTCTTCTGGGGGAGACTCCACCCGCTCGAAACAGGCGCCAAAAAAACAGCCAAGAACCACTCCATGAGGGGGGGGTGTCCGAGGGCCCGCGCCGATCGGCAGAACAATGAATCAAAAAACGATCACCAGGTACGCTGATGATCTCCTGCTGTTTGGGAAGGCGTTCGACGAGGCCGCACTCAATTCTTGAGGCGCTGGCTGAGGAGCTCGCCAGGGCGGGCCTCTCCACCAACGGCCTCAGGACGAAGATGCCGACCCCGAAATCTGCGTCTCCGGAGAGCGCTTCCCCGCTTCTGGCCGATGCTGGCAAAGGCAGAGGTCAAAAAATCACCCCCCCCTAACAAACCACCCCGACACGCGAAGTCGTTTAGTAAAAGCGCCCAAAGGAGGAATCGAACAGAGCAGGGCTGTTTAGTTAACACCCAGGCCCACTTAGGAAACGCCAGTTGGCCGGTCCGGGTGTTTTGTCCTTCCTTGAAAATGCATGGTGGAGATCTTTCGGCACGAGGCAACGCACAAGTATTTGGGGCGCCTGTTCTCCAGAGACTTGCAGCGGAGAGGGCAGTGCAATCTGAACCACCATTTGGCCTGCGGGCGGGTGAAATTCCACAACTTAGCACCGACCTCGTTGAAACGAAAGACTCCTATTCCGTTGCGTCTCAAGCTCTTTCACAGTGTCGTTACTCCTGCGGTCTGCGACAGCTTATCGACGACACCGCTGACTTCGGAACAGATTGGCTGGATTCCATCCAAAGTAAGATGCTGCGCAAAATGGTCGGATGGGTTCACTTTGACGACGAGAGTTGGGATACCACAGGGCATCGCATGAAAGCAAGATTAGAGGCCGCGCTCCAGCGGCACCCTGTGCAGGAGTGGCAACATGTACGGCAGCTCGCCAGAGACAGGCTGCTTCGCACCGTCGATTCCGGATCGGCGCCGCTAGTCGCGCAATTGAACGCCAACTGGGCTCGAGCGCAAATTCATGACCAATTCCTACAGCACGTTCCGCACCGACGGCGTGGAAGGTCGAGGCAGATATGGACTGACTGATCGCCAATGCCCTCCCTTCCCTCCCTCCCCGAGGCGAGGCTGCGTCGCGCTATCTGACCAGACGAACAACAGGTGCTGCTGCTACGATGTTTTTTCCCGGACTTTTCCGGTGACATTCCTAAGGAACTGTCGCCGTGCATGGAGAACTGGCCATGGGCCGATCGGGCGTTGCGTTACGTTGCGTTGCCAACTACATTTGAAAGACGCAAGCTTGCACTCAGCGGCAGTGCCCTGACTTCGAGGCGGGCACTCTCTTGGCAGGCCTTCTGCGAGGCAGAGCCCCGAAAAGGAACCACGACAAGAACGGGGACCAGAAGGGTGACAGCGACGAAGCCTAGGAAAGCACCCTTCGCAAAACACATGAAGGCATCACGAACAAACAGCCTGAAAATTTGACGACGGGCACCACCACCCGACACAAGGAACCCTCGTGCAACAAATGGCGACGACGACGACGACAGATCAATGAAACACGTGGCGAGGACAACCTCGAGATTAACCTGGGCGACGGATGAGGACAGGAAAGAGACATGTTTCGAGCCCCGATGAATGCGGGTCGTAGACATCGGGAAGGGCTCGCCCGATCCCGCCCACTTGGGAAGCACCACCCTTCCAAAACAAAAACAAATAAAGTCTACAAAATTACCCGGGACGTACCCAACCCCTTGTCCACACGAGGCGAAAAGGTGTGTGAGCGCTCCATACGGGAGAACACATCGCCAAATAATATGCACGATGTGCGCTGCCCTCACCTCCGCCGTGCCTCCCAGGAGACCACGAAAGTGGGGACAGATGCGCAGGTCGCAGCCCCCGAGGGAGCCGCGACGTCTCAAACGGATCCGCGCTGCCCTCCACATCGCCGCGCCTCCCGGGAGCCGACGAAAGTGGCGACAGACGAGCGCTGCGCAGGGAGCCGCGAGGTCTCGGCTGGGTCTGCGTATGGCCCTCCACTCCGCCGGACCTCCCAGGAGCCCACGAAAGTGACGACAGCTGCGCAACTCGCAGCCAGCCAGGGAGCCTCGAGGTTTCGGCCGGGTCGCAGCCAGCCAGGGAGCCGCGAGGTCTCGGATGGGTGCGTATGGCCCTCCACTCCGCCGGACCTCCCAGGAGCCCACGAAAGTGGCGACAGGTGCGCAGTTGGCAGCCTCCCAGGGAGCCGCTGCCGTCCAGGCATGAGGAGAAGGGAAGAGGAGGCAGGAGGCAGGAGGAGAAGGAAGGAAGGAGGAGGAGCAGGGGGGAGTTGGGAAGTTGCGCGATCAGTGCTCTATTCAAAACGAGAGAACCCCACACAGGAGGGTTGGGAAATATCCCTACGCGCCCTCTGATCCGCCACCGTGCCACCGGGCGCGTTGAGGCGAGGTAGAATGCCAAGTGATATCTGGAAGGGTTTCTGTAAGTCTTCTGGAGGACCCCTGCCCCATCCCCCCGGTCAGGGGGTGATGCGTGCTCCGCCCACCCCTCCCGAGGCTCGCCGGGCGGCCCAACGCTTCCCTGGCGCTCTCCAGGGCGTCCAAGATGTCCAAGATGGCTTCCCAGACGGCCGCGGCAGGCCACTAAGGCCGCCAAGATGGCCCAAGACGCATCCAAGACAGCCCGAGATCGCCCCACGACGGCCCAAGACGGCCTCTAGACGGCCTACAGGGCCTACGAGGCCCCCAAGACAGCCCAAGAGGCCCCCGACGAAGATGCCGCCCAAGACGGCCCAAGCAGGGCCCGAAGAAATCGAGATCATGGTGCTTGAAATCCGTTCGCGTTCTCACCTGTTCGGGCTTGCGTCAGCCGAAGACGGCCTAAGAGGCCTCCAAGATGGCCCCAAGACGGCCAGAGAGGCCCTCAAGAAAGCCCCAAAAGGACCCAAGCGGCTCTCAAATGGCCTAAGAAATCTCCAAGACGGCCACAAGACAACACAAGGACACCCAAAGACGGCACGAGACACCCAAGACGACCCCTCAGGGCCCCCAAAGAAGGCCCCACGACGGCCCAGGGAGGCCCGCCACACGTACCCCGAAGGCGCCAGACACTGTCCAAGGAGCCCCAAGGGACCCCGAGGGGCTCCCGAGACATCCCAAGAGGCCTCCAAGAGGCCCCTCGGAGGCCCTCAAGAGGCCCCGGGAGAGGAGGGAATTACAGGAAGTGAGGAAGACGACAACGACGACTGGGACGCACAAAGACATACTAGTACTATATGTTCTCTTTGGAGGCGCGCGTCCGACCCAAACATATGGTATACCCATCTTGTAGTATATCGTTTCCCGAGCGGTGTGGCCAGAAAGCGCCCGCCACGACGCATATGCTATAAGATTTCTCGGTGCGCCAATCGCCCCTGGGGGGGCGACACACATATAGTATAAGTATGTTGCGACGAACACTCGAAGGGGCACCCCGACTCGACGCGGAAGAGCGCATCATATTTCGCGGCTCGCGGACCCCCCTCCAAATGCGGCCGAATATTCCGGACCCCCCTCTTCGACGGGGAGCCTTAATAAACCAGACCCCCTAAGCTCCAATCAAAAGAAAACGCCAAAATAAACTGGACCCCCCGAATTACAAAAAAACGCCGCCATTAGATTCCTAGCGTCGGGGCCTTAGCTTGGGCTCCCTGTGGGGCCACAAAACATGTGATGGGTGTGCTCAGATGGGTGTGGCGGCGCAGGGCAAAGGCAAGGGTGAGAGGAACGGGGGGGCAGCGTGGGGGCGGAGCGCGGCGCTGCGGATTCAAAACGAGATCTCAACACCACAGGATGGTTAGGAACTAAAGGCTCCAGTTTCATGACAAACGATACGACGGGGAACGCCCCAGCCATCCCCAGTCGCCAAGGCCGGCATCGACACTTGCGCGGCTACGCGGCGGCAGCTCCACGGCGGCGAACTCCGGGTGCCACGCCTCGAGGCGGCTGGCGGCACTCTAGCAGAATGGTGCACGTAGAGCATAGATGAGCAACAACCCCGAGAGAAGAATAACCACGAGCCCCAAACCCGCAGGACCCGACGCACGAAAACAAGCAATGCGCGAACCCAAGGGCACGATAGCACGGCCCACGGAGAATCTGAGCAACGAGCCACGGAAACACCGGGCAAGAATCACGGAAGCGAGAAGGAGGAGGAGAAGGAGGAGGCCGAGGGGGAAGAGGACGAGGATGGCGAGGATGACGGGGACGACGGGGACGACGATGAGGACGACGACGACGACGTCGTCGACGTCCTTGTCCTCTTCAGCATCACCACCATCGTCATCACCATCGACGTCAGATCGTCCTCGTTCTCAACTAGTAATGTTGGAAATCTATAGTTGGAAATCCGCCGACCCTGTCGGCGTGTGCGAGGGGCTTCCTCGTCCGAATCGTCTTCGTTGTTCGGATTGACATCGTTGTGTTTTCGTTGATCGGATCGTCATCGTTGTCGATTCGACATGAAGTGAACGGCATCATTTCCTCGCCGCCCCCCCCTTCTGCCTTCCCCTTTTTTCTTCTTGGGCCGTACCCTCCTGCCGTCATGCCGTTGTAGATTCGAAGGGAAGCCCCTTCCCTTTGATCCCTTCCCCAGGGGGGGGGGTCCGGGGGGGGGGGCCCGGGGAGGGTCCCGGGGGGGGGGTGGGGGGGGGCGGGGGGGGGGAGGGGAGGGGGGGGAGGAACAGATTCGTTTTTCCTCGGGCGGCCTCGAAACCTCGAAAACACTCCAAATGAGGTCCGAATGCCCAAGATGGCCCCCGAGACGGCCCAGGAGTGCCCCGAGACGCCCAAAGATCGGCCGAAGACGCCCAAGATAGCCCCAAGACCGTCCAAGAAGCCTCCAAGACGTCCCAGGCCCCCTCCAAGAGCACCCGCAAGAAGGGCCCAAGAGGCCACACTCATTACTTTTCCATCGGAAACTTACATTTTTAGCAGATACGACGTTTCGGCCTTCACGGCGTCACAGACAGCCCGAGAGGACCCCCAAGAAAGCGCCAAGACAGCTCAAGAGTCTCCCAAGAGGCGCCCAAGACAGCCCAAAAGGGCGCCAAGACGGCCCAATAGGCTCCCAAGACGGCCCAAGAGGGCCCAAGAGGGGCCCAATCACACTCCCGGGGCGCACTTTCTTCGAGCGGGCACACAAAGTATGCACTTCCTCCTCCTCCTCCTCCTCCTCCTCCTCCTCCTCCTCCTCCTTCTCCTCCTCCTCCTCTTCCTCCGCCTCCTCCTCCTCCTCCTCCTCCTGCTCCTCCTCCTTCTCCTCCTCCTCCTCCTCCTCATCCTCCGCTTCCTCCCCCCACTCCTAGCCCTTTCGATCAGGGTCGGCGGCACCGGCCGTCAGGCCTCTCCAATCTATAGTTATAAACACACGGGTACAAGAATAAGTGAGTATATGCATGGTGTGCAACCGACGTGCTGCAAAACGAATGGTGCAACATATAGATATATATATATATATATACACATACATACATACAAACATACATACATGATCCCCCAAGCTGCTAAAACGTGCCAAGGGACCTGCCAATCGCGAAGAGACTGAAGAAAATCGAGAGCACAATCAAGTAGATACAACGCTTTTTGCAATCGCTTCTTAGACCCAAATCTGAAAAACGAGTGGAGCGGGTGAGAGGGCCTCGACTGGATGAGGCCACCTCCGTGGCGCGAGCGCATATACTAAACTGTGTGCCCCAGATGGGTGCAAAGTTGCCCAGGACACGGCGCGGAATCTCCGCGCTTCCACTCCCGACTCGCAGGCTGACCCTTGGACCGAGCTGCCGTCGCAGTAACGTGAGGTCAACGAGATCCTTGGGGCGCAGCCGGAGCACAATGGGAGCGTAATCAGAGCCGAGGCCGCTCTACCGTGCAAATCCTCGATGAAAGTCCATCGCTTTGCTGCTTGCCCTGGAACCCGAGACTGGCCTCCAAAGGCAAGAAACTGTGAGAACCTGACCGTCTCTATTTCTCACTCGCGACACATGAGGTCTCGGCCCCTGGAGGTCGCTGGCGGTACGTGAAGCCCTCTGGAGGTCAGCCCGAGGGAGTCTCGAAGGGGCCCCACAGCCGTGAACCTCGACCCACGATCCTCCTCCTCATCCTCCTCCTCCTTCTCCTCCTCCTCCTGCTCCTGCTCCGCCGCCTCCTCCCTCCTCATCCCTCCTCCTCCTCCTCCTCCTCCTCCTCCTCCTCCTCCTCCTCCTCCTGCTCCTCCTCCTCCTCCTCCTCCTCCTCCTCCTCCTCCTCTCCCCTCCTCCTCCTCCTCCTCCTCCTCCTGTCCCCCTCCTTTCGATCTCTGAGAACGTCGAGGTGCAGGCCAGGAGGGCGCGGTGGGAAGCCGCCGCGCCGTCGCAGCAGAGGCCCCCGGCGCCTGCACGAAGAGGACCGGCGAGGCGGACTCCGCCTCCAGGGAGGCCTGCGGCCGGCCACGAAGCCGCAGGAGGACGATGCAAGAGGAGGAGGAGGAGGAGGAGGAGGAGGAGGACGATGCAGGAGAAGGAGGAGGAGGAGGAGGACGACGATGCAGGAGGAGGAGGAGGAGGAGGAGGCAGGAGGAGGAGGAGGAGGAGGAGGACGACGATGCAGGAGGAGGAGGAGGAGGAGGAGGACGATGCAGGAGGAGGAGGAGGAGGACGATGCAGGAGGAGGAGGAGGAGGAGGAGGAGGACGATGCAGGAGGAGGAGGAGGAGGAGGAGGACGATGCAGGAGAGAGGAGGAGGCTCAAGGATCCAGGACTTTGCACACTTTCGACCTCTCTGGGGGTCTGGGAGCCTCCGGAGGCCTCCCGAAGAGAACGCTATACGCTTTCGACCTTCTGGGGGGGCCTCCAGAAGCCTCCCGAAGGCCAGGAGGGGGACGACTCAGGAGGACCACGTGGCTGCGGCAGGAGAGCGACGCCATGGGAGGGCTGGGTCCGCAGGCTCCCCCTCGCGTGCCACTCCGATGCTTCAGCTGTCCTCCTCCGGACCGCTCCTGGGGAGTCCTGTGGAGGTCAGGGGGATGGTCTCGGGAGGTCGTTAGTGACCCCTGAACCAAATTCCTGGTGCTGCAAGACCAACACACATGTTCCATCCCGAGTACTCTCCTGTCACGCGTCGATCAGCCGGGGGCCTCCCTGGGTTGAGGGCGAAGCCCTTCAGAAAAATTCGAAACAATGACAATCTGGACCATGGACCGTTCTCAAAACGGACAACATGAGAAGCAGAAGCTGCTCCAGCAACAGGAAGCAGATCTAGGTACAGTCGTAACGCCCTGCCAAAAGGAAAACGTAAATGCGAGGGAAGAAGATAAGAAAGCTACGACGGGGGTTGAAGAATGCATGTGCCAAAGGGCCCGAGCAAGGAGTGACAGGAGACCAAAGGCACAACGGCACCTTGACCCGTCGGCCAACCCGCCCCAGACGTACCAGAAGCTGTTTTCAGGACTGAACCGACAGGAAAAGTCACTCCAAGCCAACGATCCAGGGCCCCCTGGTGCAGATTTCTGCGGACGGCACGCTGGGCAGACTGGCTGGGCAAACTGCCACCACCGCCCCAAGGCACTGCTGGCTGCGAGCGGAGCCGATGTTATGTGATGGCGCGGCCGTCTATTCTCCCCGGGTAAACTCGTGGATGCCATGACAATGCACACTCTAACAATCCGATCATTGAATACAAAGGTGCTTAAAATGTGTAAAACATGTTCTAAAAATGTTTCAAACATGTTTGTTTCTATACTTAGAACATGCTTGAAACATCTGTGAGACATCTGGAAATCACGTGGCAACATGCTTCCTCTCCACGGATCGTCCTCCACAAGGGGTAAGCCCCGATGGAAAGACTGCTCGGCCTGCTCCTGGCGCCCGGGCCCGTCCCTCCTCCGCCCCGTGCGGCGGCACCCCCTCCCCGCACGCGGCGCCCGCCTCCCGGCAGAAGTCGAAGACCATGGGCACCTGAAGCCAGAGGGGCGCAGCGCTCGGGGAGGCGGGCGGCGCGGCCACGGAGGGCGGCGGCTCGAAGAAGGCACAGTCGAGGCGTTGACCCAAGGAGCCCAAAACGAGGACCGAGGCCCCTTTTCTCCACGGGGTAAGCTTCGACTTCCCAGCGAAAACTCAGGGAGCACCTTCGGAACGCTATGAAACCATGAAGGAACACCGAGCCCCGCCCCAACGACCAGGGTTCCTTCTTCAGCGCCCCGACTGTACTGCAAGCGATGAGGAAAAGCGAGGGAACCAAGCCAAGCTGTGACGTCAGGGCAGTCAGTGGTCCCAGGCAGCATCGCGCGCTCGCGCCAAACACTGTGTGGAAGTCCCGGCAAAGTTCCAGAAGCCATGGTCGGCGGCGACGAGGTGGCACTCTCCGAGGAGTGTCCAAGAGCTGGGAATCGCCGACGGCTGCGAGGATGATAGGTACCCCAGTGAACGGGTGGACGAAAAGAGCTCCAACTGTCACAGAAATATTCGACTGCTTCGATGCGAAAGGATGTAATGCCAAGAGGCCCACAAGAGTGCCCATGAGGACCCGTAAGGCCCGAAAACGGCCCCCAAGAGGCCTCCAAACTGCCTCCAAGAGACCCCGAAGAGGCCCCCCACGAGATCCCAACGAACGGCCCATAGGCTTCATACCGATGACCCAGGCACGGTTGCAGCATGGGCCGAAGGCCATTAGATAAGGACGATATCCTGGTTCTCTCTCGGAAAGGCTCAACCACTGCTGACGACACGGCCGAAGACCTCAGCATCCTGGCTGTGTCCGCGACCAGCGAACAAACGATTCGAGTGCAATCCCATTGCCCCAAGAAAGAAGGCCTGGGACAATTATCCTGGCGAAGGACCCAACCATATGCAGTTGTGAGTATCGCAATTGTGAGTATCTTCTTCGGTGGCGCCCCCTATGGGGCCACGAACCGCATGAGGGGTGCGCCGAAATGTGGCGGGGTACACAACGCAAAGGAATACGATAGATCTGATTACGAGAGAAAGAACGCGGGTGAGTCAGAGCGCGAGGGAATCTGAGTATGAATGGGTCTGCGCGCGAGTGAATATATTTGCATGAATGCGATCATGGAACCGCCTAGTGTAAGTGTCGAGCATGCCTGTCCGAACACACGTGACACTGGGCGTGGCCGCCGCAGGCAGCTTCCGCGGGAACCCCGACGGCAGCGTCCGCACGTCGCGACGCCCATGTCGGCACGCCTCTTGCGAGGATCGCGCCCGCTTTCGGCTCTTCTTTTCCTTCCTCTTTGCCCGCGCACTCCAAAATCCAAGGCTGCGGGCGCAGCGCAGCGCGGAGTCCCCGCGACGCGCGCTGGTCGCCCCGGGCGGGGTCCCAGCGACGCGCGCGGGTCGTCCGCTGCGCGAAGCAGAGAGAGCTGACTAGCTAACTGGCTGGCTGATAGCGGGCAAGTCTCTGACCGCTGGGCAGAGCGACGACGGGCGAACGAGGCGCCGGGCCCCCCGCAGCACGGAGTTCCCGCGACGCGCGCTGGTCGCCCCGAGAGGGTCCCAGCGACGCGCGCGGGTCGTCCGCGGCGCGAGGCCAAACAATTAGTCGGGCAGTCGAGAGAAGGCGCGGCTCGGGGGAGACGCTCCTCAGGTCAGGCCTCGCGGATGAACTCGGTGAAGCCGAGCTCCCTGGCGAGGGCCGTCGCTTCCCTCCTGCACCGCTTCGTGCGCGCCGCAAACTGCTCCAGCTGCTTCCGCAAGCCCTGCGGCGGCCCTGCCAGGAAGAACTCGATGCGCGGCGCCCGCATGAGCAGGAGGTCCTCGTGGCGCGTGGCGCGCGAGAGCAGCACGTAGAGCTCCAGCCACCAGTCGTCGTCCTCCTTCTTGCCGTTCCCTACCTCGTGGCGGCCGCAATCCAGGATCACGCCTGGGCGACGTCGACCGAGGGAGCAGCGCGCCGGGCAGCCGACGGCCCAGGGCGAGAGTCCACAGGACCGAGAGATGGTCTGGCCGCGGACTGCTCGCGCCCCGGAGGTCTGGCCGCCCCCGGAGCGCCGTTCCCCCGCCCCGTCGCCTTCGCGCATGGTGCGCCCCTGGCACGCCACCGTGGTGATGACCCTGCCGTGCGAGAAATGCGGGGGGTGTGCCGAAATGGGTGGGGGTGACGCATGCGGGCGGCGGCACTGAGGCCTTCGGTGGAGCTCCCTATGGAGCCACGAAACGTGTGAGGGGTGTGCCGAAATGGGTGTGGGGACGCATGCGGCCGCGGGCACTGGGGCCTTCGGTGGAGCTCCCTATGGAGCCACGAAACGTGTGAGGGGTGTGCCGAAATGGGTGTGGGGGACGCATGCGGCCGCGGGCACTGGGGCCTTCGGTGGAGCTCCCTATGGAGCCACGAAACGTGTGAGGGGTGTGCCGAAATGGGTGTGGGGACGCATGCGGCCGCGGGCACTGGGGCCTTCGGTGGAGCTCCCTATGGAGCCACGAAACGTGTGAGGGGTGTGCCGAAATGGGTGTGGGGGACGCATGCGGCCGCGGGCACTGGGGCCTTCGGTGGAGCTCCCTATGGAGCCACGAAACGTGTGAGGGGTGTGCCGAAATGGGTGTGGGGGACGCATGCGGCCGCGGGCACTGGGGCCTTCGGTGGAGCTCCCTATGGAGCCACGAAACGTGTGAGGGGTGTGCCGAAATGGGTGTGGGGGACGCATGCGGCCGCGGGCACTGGGGCCTTCGGTGGAGCTCCCTATGGAGCCACGAAACGTGTGAGGGGTGTGCCGAAATGGGTGTGGGGGACGCATGCGGCCGCGGGCACTGGGGCCTTCGGTGGAGCTCCCTATGGAGCCACGAAACGTGTGAGGGGTGTGCCGAAATGGGTGTGGGGGACGCATGCGGCCGCGGGCACTGGGGCCTTCGGTGGAGCTCCCTATGGAGCCACGAAACGTGTGAGGGGTGTGCCGAAATGGGTGTGGGGGACGCATGCGGCCGCGGGCACTGGGGCCTTCGGTGGAGCTCCCTATGGAGCCACGAAACGTGTGAGGGGTGTGCCGAAATGGGTGTGGGGGACGCATGCGGCCGCGGGCACTGGGGCCTTCGGTGGAGCTCCCTATGGAGCCACGAAACGTGTGAGGGGTGTGCCGAAATGGGTGTGGGGGACGCATGCGGCCGCGGGCACTGGGGCCTTCGGTGGAGCTCCCTATGGAGCCACGAAACGTGTGAGGGGTGTGCCGAAATGGGTGTGGGGGACGCATGGGCCTGGGGGTTCCGGTTCGGTGGAGCTCCCTATGGAGCCACGAAACGTGTGAGGGGTGTGCCGAAATGGGTGTTGATGATGATGATGATGGGAGGGGGGAGGAGGCAGCGGGAGGAAGGAAGGAGGGAGAACGCGGGGCACCGTCTCTTCAAAACGAGGACCCAACACCACAGGATGGTTGGGAAAAAAACTTGAACCGATTGTTTTAACTCTAGACGACAGAGTCAAGTTATGAGGGCATTATCACCGTGTCATCTTTTACCTGATGACGGCACTTGGTTTTATTGCATGGGTCGGCCCCTGGCTGTGAGCCACGTCTAGAATCTGGAGCCACATACATCAGAGTCGCGGCCGCTTCTGAAACCGCCAAAATCCACCCCAGCGCAATGCCAAGTCAAGATCGGTGTCTCGCGCTCGCATAAATGGTTCACAACATAATGAATGGCACGGGCAGGGCGAAACGGAGGGCTAGTGTGGTAAAACTCATACAACTGTTGCAGCTGAAATGAACGGGTTTGCTAGCGTTTCGGTCACCTGCTGCGGGCTGGCGGCCGATAGCGCTGTCATCCTTTCCCTCCGGTCACATTTGCGACCTGTAGCGGGGCAGTAGCCTGTCGTGTCTTGATACGAATCTGCTCTGGGCAAGCCACAATTCCAAGGCCCAACTCATTGCGGAAACCAAGAGCCACCCTGGGGTCCTGCCTGACGCGACAATTCAGACTGGCACTGACGCGCGCAAAGTGTCAGAGGTGCCGGTGCCACTCGGGAGCCGACGACGTCGCAGGAGCAGGAGGAGCACGAGTGTAGGGAGAGCCTGGCTGGCCGTGTTCAAACGAAGCGTCGTGTCTATTCCTCAGTTCCACAAGCACATCCAAGATTCCCCCGTATGTCTCCCCGCTCGATGGTATAAAAATGTCTGAAAGCCCTTCTTAGACGAATTATTCGCTCACTGTCAGATATGATACTCCATGAGGAGCCGTCTCTACGAGTCTGGCACGGCGGGAGATGGTCAAGGATGGCGGGGGAGGACAAAGTCAGAGGGAGTGGCAGGGAGAATACGACAAAGGCCGAGACGGGCAAACCAGCAACCGCAGCCTTGGGCATCAGGTCCCTGGGCTCCTCGCCCTTCACGATCACTTTCACGCCCGCCTCGCCCCAGGGAGGTACAGGGCCGGTAGGGAGGAGGAGGAGGAGGAGGAGGAGGAGAAAGAGGAGGAGGAGGAGGAGGAGGAGGAGGAGGAGGAGGGGGAGAAGGAGGAGGAGGAGGATTCGCTGAGGATTCGCTCGCAACGTATAGTCGAATCGGCCGAGGGCGAGGCGACTACGCTCGAAAACGGAGGCGCCCATCATCCCAGGCCTGTCCTGGGCAATCTGAGGCCTCCGAAGCTCTGATTCGTGGTGGGGTGTCTTCCCTGCCACAAACGATTTAAACGCCCAGCTAGGACCCGAGGATTCCCCCCAGGACAGCTGGTCAACAAACCCGTCCATCGGCTGGTGGCGTACCTTGCGCACTTCCGACAGAATACTACTGTCTGATGGCGCACCGTCTGGTGGCCTTCGGCTTGGGCCCGCTGGATCATCTCTCCGAGCCCCACGGGAGGCCAAGGAGGGGGGACCACGGGGCCCTGTGAGGGCGGTGGAGTGCCCGCGGGGCTCTCCACTCCCTCACTGGGCGTCGGGGCGGGGGCGGGGCTGCCCTGGGCCCCAGAGGGCCCTGGGCCCTCGGAGGTGTCCTCGAGCCCGCGACCGAGAGCCCCGACGTGCGCGGCGAATTCCAGAACGTCTGAAACCAACTGTAACCTCTGAATATACGCGGCCCTGTACCAGGCCGCGTGCTGATGCAGTTGAGCCCCACGCTTAGCGTAGGCGTCCGCAAGCTTATTCCCGATGAACAGCTGGGGCCCGCGTGGCGTGGGCTCTGACTTTACAAAAGACAATCCCCTGCCTACCTACCCCGCCGTTTTCCCGCACGAGCCGCCAACATTCCTGCCAGACCTCTTTGTGGGTCGTGTCAGCTCTGGCGGCCCACTCAGGGCCCCTCGCGAAGCCGTCGAGCACGGACTGGCAGTCGCTGAAGATCCGCACAGGCGGGACGGCCCGCCGCAAGACCTGGAGGACCGCCATCAACTCGCTCTTGTAGATCGACTGGTCATGCTGCGGCCCTTCCAACGGCCCGAACATGGCGTACTCCATCTGGTGCTCATTGTCGAGCTTCACGAAGGACCAACCGCCTCTTCTCAATGCTGGGTATGCCCCGCACAGAAAGCTGCCATCCGTGTAGATGTCGCCGTGCACGAGGCCGTCAAAGGTGCCCCCCACCTCTCTGGTGGACGGAGGGCAAGTTCCAGAGGTCGTACTCCAGCGCTGGGCCCGCTGCGAGCCCTCTCCCCCAGAGCGCTTCGGAGGCCGCCAGCTGCTTCTCCGTCGCCCCAGGCCAAATCATGGCACCACGATGGCATATGTGGTGCCCCCCCACTCTCCGTCGGCGTTCCTGCCTGGCCGAGCACACGAACGTCCTGTGGCGGTCCGCCCCCTCGCGCTCGTGGCCGGCCTTGCAGGTGCTGCCCTCCGCGGCGCCCTTGTCAAAGAGCCGTCGCTGCGGCCAGGTGCCGCCGCACCACAGGTTGCGCACCCGCGCCTGGCGCTCCAGCGTCCACTTCTTGCTCAGCGGCCTCTTGAGCAGCGCGGCGACGGGCTCCGCGAAGAAGCTGTCCAGGCCGTGCTTCTCGCCGTGGATGCGCAGCCAGTCGCTCTTGAGGCCGTTCTCCGTGGCCGCGCTGATGCGCTGCTTCAGGTATCTGAGCGGCAGCGTCCTGAGGTCCAGGTGCTCCTCGCCGACGGTGATGCTGTGCGCCGCGAGCGTCTCCCAGCCCAGCCTCTGCACCGTGGCGATGAAGGCCCCCGCGGGCCCTCGCACCTGCTGCCACGGGGCTCTTGCCCACCCACTCGTAGCACCCACTTCTTCCACGCACTCCGGAGCTGCGCCTGGAGGCCGTCCTGGTTGGCTACCTCCTGCCACGCCATGGCCCAGTTGACCAGCGGCTCCGGGTTGGCGCGGATGGCGGGGCCGGCGCCCTGCGCAAGCAGCGTGAGCGGCGTTGACCTCCCCATGGTGTTGCCCCTGAAGGAGGTCGCCACGCTCTGCCGCAGGGAGGCGAGGGTGGCGTTGGCCATGTCCATGACCTGCACCCCGTACATCGCCGACGGCACCTTCCCCTGTCTGATGATCGCCTGCGCAGGCCCACCTGCGCGGCGTATGCGGGCGATGCGATCTCGCCGCGCCGCGTACTTGCTGGCCCTCTTGCTGAAGGCGCTGACGCGTCTTCTCCTGCCGGCAGCGGTGGCGACGCCGAGGTGGTCGGCGTGGCGCACCATCCTGATGCCGAGCGGGCGCACGCGCCTGGCGAGGCCGTCCTGCAACGCGGTGGTCGAGGCCATGGTGACCGTCTTGCCCTCCGCGCCCTTGGAGACCTTCATGTCCAGCCGCTCGAACATGTCCACGAGCGCCTGCACCAACTGCGCGTGCCAGTACTGCACAAACAGCCTCGCGCCCCGCGTGGCGACCGCCAAGTCGTCGAAAAAGAGGCAGACCGAGGCGCCCACGTCGACCCCTCCGCGCATGCGTTGTCCAGCACAATGCGCCGCGTCATCGAGTTGATGCGCAACACCATCTCCAGGATCACCGCGTTGAACCCCAAACGCGCGCCTGCTTGCCACACCTTCTCGTGCGTGACGTACTCGAAGCACTTGACCAGGTCAAAGTACGCGACGGCGTACTCCAGCCACTGGGCCACCGTGGCCTCGCAGAACAGCGCCTGCTCCCAGGCGGCCCTCTCGCTGGACCTCCCTCTCGCGGCCCAATCGTAGCCCCTGCGGTGGCTCTGCTCCCAGCTCCTGGCGCACGGCATGCGGATGGTCCCCCACAGCCTCGCCAGCTCGGGGATGAGCCCGAGGTTGCGGCGCCCGCCCGACGCCTTCGCCATCAAGTAGAACAGAATGGTGTCCTGCGCCTGCGGCCAGGGCGAGCCCGCCTCCAGGGCGTTGAGGGTGCTGGCCACCCTCGCGGCTCCGTGGATTCCTCCTTCGCGCCAGAGTCTCGGGTGCCATCCCGACTCCCCTAGCCCCGTCTTGGTCTTGAAGCGGCCGCAGGCCTCGATCACCTGCTGCGGGGTGATGGGCGGCGGCTTTGCCTCGGCCCACTCCTCCTCCGCGGGCGGCTGGAGCCACGGCGCCCTCGGCTCGAGCGGGTCGTTCCAGATGTTCTCCCACCCCTGCAGCGCGGCGTTGGCGGCCTTCTGGGGGCGCGTGAGCTCGTGCATCTGGTCGCTGTCGGCCCCAGCTGGCGCTGCCTGCGGTTGCCACGGCGCGGGGGCCTTGGTCCACTTGTGCAGCGCTCCTGCTCCTCGTTCTCCGTGCGTGGTCACCCACTGCCGCCACTGCGCCGCGGCCGCTCGGTGCACCATCTTCCAGTACCTCCTGCCGCCGAGGTCCAGCAGCGTGGCGATGAAGCCCAGGTAGTTCTGGGCGCGCTCGTCGATGTCGCTGACGCGCCAGTCCCGCAGCGTGCGCACGATGAGCGGCAAGCAAATCGTGTTCCAGGTGTTGGGGTCCAACTGGCCCACGGTGGGGGGCGCTCCGACCGCGCGGCGATCCTGCGCCCCTTCCGCCCCCTCCCGAGGGACGCCCTCCGACTCCAGCAGCCCGTCCTCCTCGTCCGAGTCGTTGCCTGTCTCGGCCGTCTGTCCAGGGGCCCGCTCGGCGAACAGCGGCAGGACGATGTCGTGGCTGAGGGCCCCGTCCGCGATGTGCTGGGCTCGCCGTAGCGTGCCCGAGTCTCGCCGCCGCTGCCATGCGTTGGCCAGAAGCCTCAGATGGCGTAGCCGCCGCGCAAGCCACTCGGCTGCCTCGGCCCACTGCTGCTGCTCCAAGGCCGCGGCGCAAGGCTTGGGCCTGCGCGGCTTCTGCTTGTAGCTGGCCTTCTCGAAGTGGCCCTGGCGCTTGCTCCAGTCGTCGCCCTCGAAGCTGCGGTACCTGTTCAGGTGCTTCTCGTAGGCCTCCCCGAGCTCGCTCCAGTAGCCGTCGACATGGCTCTGCGTGTACTTCCTGTGGGCTAGCGGCTTCGGCCATAGCACTGGCTGCGATGGGCAGCCCGTTGGCCGCGTCAGCGGCCACGGCGTCCGCCTGCACAGCACGTTGATCAAGTTGTCGCTCTGGTAGTGCACTGGCACCTTCATCTTGACGGGCAAGTGCGGCGACGTGCTGCACCCTTCCTGGACCTCTGCCTTGAGCGTAGGTGCGACCAGGCCGCGCGAGACGACGAAGTAGTCGCGCGCGCTCCTCGCGCCGTCCTTCTTCCGGCAGCTGCCCTGCTGAGTGTCGCGCACGATGACCCCGTTCATCTTGCGGGCGATCTCGGCCTGTTCCAGCTTCTCTGGGTCCATGTTGAAGTCGCCCCCGAGGATCCACCCCTTCTGGATCGCGTTCATGGTGGCGCCCCACTTGGCCAGGATGCGCTGGTTCCTCTGCGCGAGGCCCTCGCTGTTCCACAAGTAGGCGGCCCCGAGCACGAGCCCCTCCTTGCCGTAGGCGTCGATCCAGGCCACGGCGGGTCGCCCCTTGGACTCCCGCGGGCGGGTGTCCCACTGGTTGATCCCATCGCGCGCGAAGTCCACGCCCCTGCTTCGTGGCGTCGCTATCAAAACTCCAGCGCTGTGACCAGCTGTGGTCTTCGCGCTTTGCACCACCCCGATGTTCCAGCCCCCCCTGCGCATGCGGGTCTGGAACAAGTCGAGCTGCGTGCCGCTGGCCTGCAGCTCCTGGCCAAGGACGATGGCGCCCCTGTCGCTGTCTATGATCTGCTTCATGACGCGCTCCAGCGACTTCACCGCGTTGGCGTTGACCGTGTACACGGCGAGGCGCGCCTTCGGGCAGCGGCGGTTAGTTCCGCCGCTACCCGCGCTGCTGCACCCACTGCGTCTTGCTGGCGGTGAGGGCGTGACCAGTCTGCAGCTCGCCCACCAGCAACTTAAGAGGAGCAACCACCTTCCCAGCCTGGTCAGGCGTGACCCCCGCACCGACGAGGGCCCTGCAGATGTCGTGCTCGTTGGCGCCCGCGGGGATCTCGAGGAGGTCCTCCTTGGGTGGGCCCTCGGGGCAGCTCCGCTTGCGGTTGTCGGCGCTGCCTGCCCGTTCCTTGGTCGCGCGGGCCTGTTCCGCCCTGGCCTTCTTGAGGCGCTCGGCGTGCTTGGCCCGCTCTTCCTCCTGTGCCTTCTGCTCCTTGGTGCGGGCGACGGCGGCGGCGAGCTGATCCCGCTTCTCGCCCCCGTCGTCGTCGAAGCATCGCTCGGCCTGCTCAAGGAAGGCGAGCGCTGCAGCCCATCCTTTCCCTGGGGCAGGGACGGCCAACTCCTTGATCTTCTTGTCCAAGGTCTCGAGCTTGGTGTCGAACTTGCCCAGCTTACTGCGCTCGTCGGCGAGCTTCTCGTCGAGCGCCTCTCTCTGCTCCTGGAGCGCCTCGATCCGCTGCTGGCACTTGTTCTTCTGCTCCGCGACTCTGTTCCTGTCTCGTACCTCTCTGCACTCGGCGAAGCAGCGCGGCACTCCTGTCTCCAATGCTGCCTGCTCGGCGGCGAGCTTGTCCTCGAGCTGCGCCACCTGCGGCTGCAGGGACTCCTCCAGGAACGGGTCCTCGGCGAGCTTCCTGAGCTCCGCCAGCTTGGCGCGGTAGTGCTGCACCTTGGCGAGCTGCTCGTCGTGGCTCTTGTCCTCGGAGGCCTCTCCTGCCGCCGCAGTGTAAGCTCCTGCGGCCGCCGCGGTCGGGCGGGCACCCCAGCACTTCCAGCAGTACTTGTACTTTCCTCCGTTCTTGACGTTGCACGGCTCGCACCGCCACGTCGTGTTGTTGCCGCCATTGCTCTTGTTGGCAACCATCCGTGTCTTGGCTCCGACATTCGTGGCCACTCTGAGTCTAAGTGTCAGTACACTCGGGGCCTCCTGCAGGCGAAGAAAGGCGCCCGAGTGCAAAATGGCTAGGAGGAGGAGGAGGAGGAGGAGGAGGAGGAGGAGGAGGAGGAGGAGGAGGAGGAGGGGGAGGGGGAGGAGGAGGAGGAGGAGGAGGAGGAGGAGAAAGAAAGAAAGGAAACGAACAAGGAGGAGGAGAAGGGGGAGAAGGAGGAGGGGGGTCGAAAAAGCTCAGCGACTATGCGCAAGGCTACAGACAGAGCCTGATCGGTGGGCACTCCTAACGAACAGTCGGCCCCCTCCAAGGGCCGAATGGTCGCCACGGGAGGACACGCGCCGCGCACGGGGACGCGACGGAGAACCGGGAGGGCGAAAAGGGCATGTTCGTAAGTCGGGCATGTCCCTCTACAGGAGAATCGTCCAGGGACGATTTTCCTGTTCCTGATATGTTTTAGTTTTTTGTTGTGTTTATTTCCCTGTAAAGGGACATGCCCGACTTCAGTATATTCCCATGCAGCTCCAATTGATCGACGAGTATGACTTGGGTCTTCCGCACGACGACGCGGCAACCTTACGCGTTGGCTAGCGCAGGCCGCCAGCGCGGCAAACCGCGTGGAGAAGAGGACACTTATGCGCGGCCTGACGCGGGCAGCCCACGCGCGAATGCCCACGCGGTCCAGAAGGAGGGGCGCATTCATCATCACGGCATCTGCGTCAGCCTCCCGAACGCAGCCCTTTGGCGCGCAGCTCGCGCAAACGCAGGAGGGGAAGAAATTCAGTTGCTCGGCGAAGGGAGCTGGAAGTCGTCCCGCGGTAAACAGAGCCTGACAGAGCCACAGAAAGGAATATTCGATCCTTTACATCCCCCTCCTCCTGCCACGTCCTTTTCCTCCCCCTCCACATCCTCCTCTTCCTCTCACAATCCCACCATGCTACAGCTGCATCGATCAATGTCTAAAGCGAAACGGTAAAAACAAAGAGGCGCATACCGAATGTGGCTGCGAGTGCAAGAGATTGCTCCGTCCTGACACTCGTCGACACGACTCTGGGGAGCTCTCCCGGAGCCTCCTCACCCTCTGGGCCCAGCTCAAGGAGACCCTCAGGCAATCTGGCATGTGGCGTCCTTCTGAGAGGACCGTGGGGCCGCCTGAACCTGACTTGGACGCCTTTAGGGACCAGCCTCGGCTCATCTCAAAATCATGCTACAATTACTCCGTAAGGAAACGCGTTGTCCAAATACGATGGGTATGACAAAAACATACAAGCATCCGCGCCTGGACCTCTCGTGCCAAGTCGAAGCTCATGGAGCCAACTCGAAACTCATGAGACCAACTCGAAGCTAAGAGAGCCAAGTCGAAGCCCTCTGGGGGGCTCTTGCGCCGTCTTCGGACCATGTTGGACCCTGGACGTTACTCAGGGATTCCGAAACAATGCTGGAAATCAGAGAAATCCCGCAAGCATGATTGAATCGTGCTCACCTGGGCACATCTCCACCGAAGCCGGTACACTTCCTTGCTAAGGCGCCAATGCTGTAATCGAATGCTAAACTACCGATCGGGGCCTACCTCGCTCCTCCTCCTCCTCCTCATCATCCTCCTCCTACTCCTCCTCCTCCTCCTCCTTCTGCTCCTCCTTCTCCTCCTCGACCCCCCTCATCCTTGTCCTACCACACCACCTCCACCCATTCAAGCGTCCTTCGGGCAAAGGGGCGCGAGACGCCTGCGTGGCGACCAGGATCCCTATGTTAGCGTTCGTGTTGCAGGTGTCCAGGAAGACTGCCTGTACGATAGCAGCGATGCCGGCAGCGAGGCGCGGCGGGCCCCGTCCTCCCTCTCGTCGAGGACAGGAGGACAGAAGAAGATAGCATCGACACTCGGGCCGCTGTCTCACAGCATCACAAGTAGTGTCCCACTAGTCGATATCCCACACACGTGCCTCTGACAGACAGGCATAGGTCTGCCAGACACAGAGACCTAGACATGTCCGCCTGGCAGATTCACCTGCTGCGACGCGCGACCGTCAGAGGATTCTGGCCGACAGGGCCTCAAGCGCGAAAACGTCGGTGAGCTCAGAACGGCAAGACCACAAATGCGAAGCCGTCTTCGAATCCAGGCTGGCAGAACTTCAGATGCGTAACCACCCTGTCTGGTAGCCGCTGGTCGCTGGATCGGCCGCCAGGGCGGGCCATCATGGCGAGTGCCGCCTGGCCAACGCGTTGACGCTGGCACCTGCAGACTCGCTCCACCAACCAGCCTCGAGCTTATCGCTATCCCTAAGATCGACAAGCCGAAAGGCGAGGACCGTCTTGGAATTGCGTCCTCAGAAGCAAAGGGACACGTTAAGATCGGCATCCAGATACGGTGAAGGCAACCATAGGGGTAGGGACGTGTTCCAAGCTGGTGAGCGAAGCGCTGACGCTGGCTCCTGCAGACTCACTGCACGCCCGCGCCCCGGTCGGAATTTGGCTGGCAAGCCATTGCAGGGAGTGTCGGAGGGCAAAGGAGCAGGAGCACAGGGGGACAGGAGGGGACTCAAGACCACGGAGCCAAAGGCCGCCCGAAGGGCACGCACGGGGCATGTCGATTCACATGCTTCCCCCAAACAGTGCTTGCACTTAGGGACTCTGACTTCTTGCTTTGAGGAACTGGGTCTGCCCGTCTGTATGGAGGCTACGGGGTCGCTGTTGCCACCCCGTCGCTCTGGGACTGCCCGTCGGTCTGGCGGCTATGTGGTCGCCGTCGCCGCCCTGTCGCCGTCTGGACCCTGCATTACTTACCACTGCCTTGCGTAACGCCGAATTGCAGTACATTGAGCTGCATTGTATTATGAGCGTTGCTCTGCACTACTTTACACTGAATTGCATTACTTTGCGATGTGTTCCCTCGCTTTACATGTCTTTGTGCTGGATTGCGTTGCATTGCATGGCATTGTTCTGTTCTGTGTTGCATCGCTTTGCGCCACTTAGATTACGCACCGCACCATTTCTGAAAACAGAAAGGAACAAATAATGTAAAATTATCCCGGCGAAGGGCCCAACCATGTGCAGCTGTGTGTAACGCAGGTGTGGGTATCGGCCTCGGTGAACTTCCCTCTGAGACCACGACGCGTGTGACGGGTGTGCCAAAATTGGCACGGGTACGCCATGCGGACGCTGCCACAGGAGCCGTCGGTGCAGCCCCATCTGAGGCCACGAAACGCGTGAGGGGTGCGCCGAAATGCAGGGTGGAACCACGTGCGGGCGCTGCCACCAGGGCCTTTGGTGGCCGCGAAACGTGGAAGGGGTGCGCCGAAATGGAGGGGGAACTGCATGCGGAACCTGCCACTGGGGCCCTAAGTGGAACACTCCATCGGGCCACGAAACGTGTGAGGGGTGCGCCGACATGGAGGGGGAGCTGCATGCGGACTTGCCACGGGGGCCTTGAATGGAGCACCCTATGGGGTAACGAAACGTGTGAGGGGTGCAACTGCATGCGGACCCTGCCACTGGGGCCTTCGGCGGAGCACCCTATCGGGCCACGAAACGTGTGAGGGGTGCGCCGAAATGGGGGTGGAACTGCATGCGGACCCTGCCACTGGGGCCTTGGGCGGAGCACCCTATGGGGCCACGAAATGTGGAAGGGGTGCGCCGAAATGGAGGTGGAACTGCACGCGGACCCTGCCACTGGGGCCTTGGGTGGAGCACCCTTATGGGGCCACGAAACGTGTGAGGAGTGCGCCGAAATGGAAGTGGAACTGCATGCGGACCCTGCCACTGGGGCCTTTGCTGGAGCTCCCTATGGAGCCACGAAACGCTGTAATGGGTGGGTGAAACGCAGGGATGAGGGAGGAGAGGGAGGAGGAGGAGGGAGGGGGAGGGGGAAGGGGGGCAGCGGGAGGAAGGTGGGAACGCGGGGCGCTGTCTCTTCAAAACGAAGACCCAACACCACAGGATGGTTGGGAAAAACAATAATAAAAAACAAAAAAAAAAAAAAAAAAAAACTCCCAGGATTATCGGTTCCCCGTTTCGAGTTGCAATGCACATACGATTATACCCCAGCGTCCATCCGAAATACAAGCTTACACCATCCCGGGGGGGCCGGTTTCGCCCCCCCCCCTCCTTTGCAAAAATACGTATGCACGCGCACACGTTGTTTTCAAGAATCCGACATGTTCGAAAATCCCTTGCAAACGAAAGCGCGCACGCGCGCGTCGTCGAGCGCGCATGCCAAAATCCTTTTTTAAAATACTGTCGGTTTCGCAAAGATTTCAAAATCGAGTGTCCAAAACATATGAAAGCACGGGGTTTCGCAACACGGATGTTAAACAAAGAATGTTCGCGCGCCGTGCAAACGCGCGCGTCTTCCCGCGAGCATTCCGAAACCCGTCAAAAACATTCGGCGTCGTAACAACTTGGAAAAAAAGAGGAAGAAGAACAACAAAAAACAAAAAACAAACAAAACAACAACAAAAATAGAGAAAACAAAAAAAATGGCAGTGTTCAAAAATGCGTGCGCTCGCAAACAAACGATAGGTTGTCCAACACATTTATGAAGATTCTTCCAGAAGGCCACTCGCGCCGCACGCCGACATCATTCGCACGCCCTTGCGCGCGTGATGGGGGGAAACGATCCAAGTCTCATACCATGCGAGCCACCCTCGCGCGTCGGTCACGCGCGCATGTCGAACTCTTTCCAAAACTTTCATCACCGACGCGAGGACGCCGTCATCGTCGTCGGCGTGATCAGCACCGGCGCCCGCACTGGCCGCGCCACTGGCATCGTCGTTGTCAACATCGTCACCAGCATCGCTACTATCATCATCGTGTCTACCGTCGTCGACGTTGCAATGATACCGCGCCCGCCCAAAGCGCCGACTCGCACTGAAGTGCCCGATGGGATGTGCCCAGCGGTCAGCGCCACCGCGGCCGAGTCGGTCGCGCCGAACTGGCTGGCCGCTGCGCGCGCGAGCTTGGGTTGGCGCGGCAGCAGAGATGGACCAGCCAACGTCAAGCACTCATCCCAATCGCCACCGCGTGGGGTTTGCAAACCAAGTTGCGGGTGGGTGGGTGGGAGGCTTGCGCGAGCAGTAGAGGTGGTCAAGCGCGGTGCAGGGTAGTCAATTGCACCGTATAAATTGCACCATATACATTGCATCACCTATGTATTGCACCGGACAGGCTGCATCACATACATTCCACCACGCAGCTTGCGCCACATTGACTGCACCACATAGATAGCACTGCATCGATTGCACCACTTGGATTGCACCACAAAGATTGCACCATCTATGTAGATGTACATGATGCTGCACCACATAGATTACACCACATAGATTGCACAACGTAGATTGCACCACATACTATACCAGATAGTGTACCAGATACTGTGCTAGACCACTCTGTCTGGGGTCCACGTTGGCTAACATGTCTTACTATATCCAGCGAGACTGCGCAACATATTGTCTCGTCGACCAGTCCCGAAAGCTACAAGAGACACCTCGCTACGCGCGCGAAACAATCCAGCAAATACACAACCTTCCGCGCGACGACGGGCCGTGACGACTGGCATGCCACACTCCGATTATGCCGCGATTGCGCTATGATTAGTCTCCGGTTGCGCTCCGCTTACCTCCGATGACGCTCCGATGACGCTCCGTTGACGCTCCGATTACGCTCCGATGCAAGCCATCCCAAGGAACCCGAATTACGGAGCGTGCTCCGCAGCTCCAGCTCCGTTGGGCTCGAGAGCACGCCCTGCTGGGGGCGCGCCCGAGGGGAGAAGAACGTCTGCCGACCCTGCTACTCATCGAGGATCCGACATGGGGGCGCAGCCCCCTCAGAAGGGCACGCGCGAACGCACTTCTCCAACTGGACAGCGAAACTTATCGGCTACACGCAAGAGTGACCCTTGGTAAGAGTGACCTTTGGTGCGCGGCTTTTTGGGGAGCCGCGGGGGGACCAAACCTGGGCGCGCAAGCCGCTGCTCCTGCTTCGTTTTCAGCCATCTGGGGACCCGTCTGTGCCCGCACTAAAGGTCACTCCGGCGAAAGGTCACTCTGACGTCTAGTCGAAACTCAACGCGCCTTCTCATCGAGCGGGAAGCCGCCGGCCCAGTGCGCCCTGCCGGGGGCGCGCCCGGCGCCACGGCCCGCGCCGCGGGGCCCACGGGCGGCGCCCCTCTGGCCCGGGCTTCGCCCCGCGGGCGCAGCTGGCGGACTGCAGGTCTGGCAGCTCGTGCCCGCGGTGCCCCCTCCTCCTCCTGCTCCTCCTGCTCCTCCTCCTCCTCCTCCTCCTCCTCCTCCTCCTCCTCCTCCTCCTCCTCCTGCTCCTCCTCCTCCTCCTCCTCCTCCTCCTCCTCCTCCTCCTCCTCCTCCTGCTCCTCCTCCTCCTCTCCTCCTCTCCTCCTCCTCCTCCTCCTCCTCCTCCTCCTCCTCTCCTGCTCCTCCTCCTCCTCCTCCTCCTCCTCCTCCTCCTCCTCCTCCCTCCTCCTCCTCCTGCTCCTCCTCCTCCTCCTCCTCCTTCTCCTCCTCCTCCTCCTCCTCTGGGCAGGTCTGGGGGGGGGCATCGGCACGAGCAGGAAGGCTGGAGGTTCGAGGTGTCCAGACGTCGTCGTCGGCTCTCGGCTTATGCTGTTACCATCGTACTCGAGGACCACATCCCATGCATAATTTCGAGTACCCGGAAAAGTGTCGACACGGTGTCGAGACAGAGTCGGAACGGCGTCAAGACAGGCAGTGTCGAACGAGTGTCTCCCAGGGCCCGACACGTGGAAACCGTCGAGTTTCGGTGCCTTCTTGGTTCTTGAGATTCTCTTTGGTGATCAACTGGCGGCGAGCGAAGGGGAGAAATGAGAAGGAGAAGGCCTTCTCAGAAGGCGGCGGGACTTCTCAGAAGCCCTCGTGCCTTCTGGGAAGTTCTTGTCCGTCGTCGGGGAAGGCTCAGAAAGTTTCTCCGAAGGCCGGGGGACTTCCGAGCCTCCTGAGAAGGCCCTCTCCTTCTCACTTCCCCCCCTCGCTCGCCGCCGAATCAAGTCTATCGAATAAAAATTGGAACATCGGGGGCTCCCCGCCTCGGGATGTCCTTCCGCAGCCGCGCCTCGCCGAGGGGCGCTCCACGGGGGGTGCCCCCCGTCGCCCCCGGGCGGCCGCCGGAGGCCCGAGCTGTGGCCCGGGCAGCCACGAGGGCCGGGGCAGGGCAGGGGCTCTGAAGGGGCCCTGGGACACTCGAATTCGCCGGCCCAACGGGCCAGAGGCGTGCCAAGTTCGCGCGCGCGGGGCGGCCCCTGGTGGGCCCCAGACGAAAAGTACCCCGGCCGATCCCCGGCTGACCCCCGGGCGATCCCCAGGGGGGAGGCTATTTTTCGCCACCCCTCACGAGGATCGTGGCCTCCGAGGGGGGGGGGCTGCCAACGACTACCCCCCCTCCCGCCCCAAGGGGCCCCCAAGAGCCCCCCAAGAGGCCCCAGGGGAGCCCAATACCCAGACATCTTGGCGCTCCATAAAAATTGGAACTTCAGAATCGCACCAAAAATGAATTGGAACATCTGACAAAAATTGGAACATCCAGACTCAAGCGCACTGTGAGTGATGATCGTGATGGTGATGACGATGTTAACATGACGAGTGACGATGATGATGATCATGAGGATGATCATGATGAGGACGACCGTTTACGGCCATCTGATGAATTCCCGACGATCGATGTCCAATCCAGTTTAAATCGCCGCCGCGATCAGTCGACGGCGCCAGGCAGGCGCGCGAACGCATAAATGCGCCAGCGTGCCTCAAGCGACGCCGACCGCGCCGCAGAGAGCGAGCCTTGAGGCCGACGGGCCCGAATGGGGTTTGAACCAAAATGGCAACGGAGGAGGAAAAGGAGACGGACATACAAATAACCACATGCCTCCTCGAAAGCCCAAGTTTGGGTATGTATGTCTATGTATGTATGTATGTATGTATACATGTGTACACATATGTATGTGTACATGTAAATATATGTACGTATGTATGCATGTATGTCTGGATGTATGTATGTATGTATGTATATATGTACGTATGTATATATGTATGTATATGTGTATGCGTATGTATGTATGTGTATACGGATGTATGCGTGCGTGCATACATGTATACATGCATGTGTGTAAGTGTGTGTGTTTATGTATGGATATGTATGGGTGTATGTATGCATGCATGCATGTATGTATGTGTGTATATATGCATGTATGTATGTACGAATATATAAACAAATATGCGTATACGTATGTGTGTATGTGTATGTGTATGCATATATACATGCACTCACGTACGTATGTATGTATATATGGATGCATGCATGCATGTGGTATGTATATGTAGGTTTATACATATACACAGATAGGTATACAATGTTGGTTACATATTTGTATACAGCTATTACACCTATGTACATATATACATACATACATAAATACATATATATATATATACATATGTATATACAAATCCATACACATGTGTACGATGGCCGGCCACGGATCGAGAGACTTACCGTCTCTCTGGCTGCATGGCCCGCGCGATAGCGGCGGACGGGCGAGAGCAGCACGGGGGACGGAAGGAGGGGCAAGGCAGGGAGGACGGAGGAAGGAGGGAGGGAGGAGGGATGAGGGATGAGGGGAGGAGGGGGGAGGATAGAGGGAGGGAGGGGGGGGGGGAGCGGGGAGGGGGGAGGGAGGGGTGAGGGAGGGAGGAGGGACAGAAACAGAGAGGGAGGGGGAGGAGGGAAGGGGCATCGACGGAGCAGGGATGATGGATTTAAAGTGGGGAGGGATCGAGGGATCGAGGGGTCCCTCCCCGAGGGAGGCGTCGGGGGAGGGCGGACTTGGGGTTAACGCGCTCCTGCCTTTCTGAGCGCGGATCCGCAGCACCGCACCCACACACCACGAGCAAGAGGCTAGTCCACACGCGCCAGGCCAGATTTAAAACATCAGGGAATCCGCGGGCCCCACCGTCATCACCATCATCATCGTCATCTTCATCACCACCACGATGGTAAAACACATTGACCGTAACCATGCCCCAATATTGAACGCACGCGCACGACGCTAAAAAACACCCCACGAAATCCATGACGACCCCTCCACGGATATATATATATATATATATATATATATATACATATTATTGTTTCGGCGCGTATATTTTACAAGAGGCCCATCCGCAAGGCGCCCTGCTTGAGTCAACCTTTCAAAGGTTCTCAGGCAGGACCCTTTGGAGGAACCTCGTGTAAAACGTACGGCCTCCGTGGAGGGCTTTCGCCACGAACCCCATGAGGCGGTTTTCAGCCTCGTCCGCGTACGTCAAATATGCCCGCGGATTGCCCTTGGCCGAAGCCTGTTCCACTACGTGGAACGCCATGTGAAATTTGAAGACGTGGTGTCCTTCAGACTCCTTCCAGGAGTGCAAGAATTCCATCATGCTCCTCTGTGATCAATCTTGGTTGGTGGCGTTGCAGGAGCGAGCTGTGCTTTCGAGCAGTGTGCGGCTGAAGTGACCAGGTGTGCGGGACGCTGCGCAGGAAATTCCAGCCATCGATGCGGTTATGATGTGCATGGTGCGATAGCTCGTGGTATGCAATGCTGGCCAACCAAAGTTGATTCTTGAGCTCTCTAAGCTTGGGTGGCGCCATTCGGCGAGGCTCTCCCGCGCAAACAGTATACACATTAGCAAGTGCAGTGGCCGCCTTGAAAAGCTTGGCCTTGTGCGGACCAAGGTGCCTGTACGACTCGCGACACAGCAAAGGCATCAGCGGGACTAGCCACCGCGTTTCGGCGGCTTTGGCGCGCAGCCTGGGGTGAGCCGTCTCCTTCGACGGCATGAACATTTTCAGGCTGATCTTGTCGATTTTCGAGGTGACCTGCGGGTTTGCTAGGTAGTAGGCGCGGATCCTGCGGCGAAGGTGCAGTAGACCGTCGTGCATCCTTAACTTCTTGGTGGACTTCTGAGACTGGCTGAAGTTGTTGGTCAGGAGCAGGCACAGGATCATGCCAATGAGATATTGGCTGACCCCCAGGTCCAGTATATGCATTGCGTCCAAGTGGATGCACTCCACCGTCACCCCTGGCACTGTGAACAGGGAGCACAACAGGTTCAATCCGAAGGAATTGCCCGAGTCGAAGAATTGGAGCCTTGCTGGGAGCACAAGTTCATGCAACGCATGCAAATCTCGTACCTGACCAGATTCGATCAATCGATATCCTGCCTTCAAACCGAGAGGGGCGTACTGCTGGAATACTGCATATCCGCCGTAGTCGTCATCGAATCTCGCGCAGCGCAAGAGCCCTGTCAACATTTGTGGCGTCGCCACAGTAACGGTCTTCAGTGCGAGCCGAACCATGGCTCTGTAGGCGTCCTTATCTCTCGGGAACCATACCGATTGAGCGACTGTGGCTGGAAACGAGTACAGGTCTCTCTTAATGCACGAACACACGAAACAGGGGTTTACTGGATTCTGCCAGTTGCGAAATCCGAGCGACGAGGTAATTTCGAGCAGATCGGCCCTTATCTCACATAAGGCGCCTCTCCACCCACTGCATATCTCGGTGCCTCGCAGGGCGCACCTGCTGTGGTCTAGGGGGCCGTTCTCGTGGTTCGTGGCGGGATACAGGCCCGACGCGAGAGCGCAAAAGCTCCACGTCAGGACCCGCATCACCTGGCCTAGCGTGCAGAACCCCTTACAGCCGCACTTGCAGAGGTCGCTCTTACGGAGCGAACAGAGCAGAGAACGACGACCATTGAGGCCGTTGCTGAGGTAGTACGCAATGAAGGAATCACTGCGTGTGTGGGGCACCGCGTCACTGTAGAAGCCCACGGGGAAAGCTCGACCGCCAGGTGCGTCGCGCACCACCGAGTGTTCTGAGAATTCAGGCGGTAGCGTATCAGCATCAAAGTTTATGGGGTCAAACTGCCGTGGGTCCTCAGCAAAGCTCGCCGCCACTTGCTCGTGTGGCAGGTTCATTGGAAAGTCTACGTGCGTCCTGGCCTCTTGCTCGTGGTCCCACACAGGCAACCGCACCACATAAAACGACTCCAAAGACCGTACCTCCAGAGCTGCACGCACATGCTCTGCGGCATGATCACTATCTGGGTGTAGTCCTAGATCCGCCACGCCGAACGACCCCCCCTGTGTTGCCCAGTAGCACGCGGTGGCTAGCTGCCTGGCCGTGAGGTGCCCTTCCTTATATTGCGAAAGCAGATATTTCCGAAGCCTCTCACCACCAGCTCTGACTTCATCACTTATTGGCGCCGCCTGCTCAGGAGGTGGACCCCTCGCTAACAACTCAGCAGCGGCAACTCTGGAACGGGATGCCATGCCCTCCCCGCAGACACGAAGAGCGGGAACCAAATTGCCTGAGCACTCGGCTACGAAACAATGCACACTTCATCTTTCAGCCCCAAAGAACTCGCACAATCCAATTCAGGGTCGACTGACCCATGCACATGCACTCGAAAGGACATCCGAGATGACGCACGGACCATAATTCCCATCACCATCGTCGTGGTCATCATCGTCGTGTCGTTCATCTTCCTCATCGTTTTCCCTCGCTGACTCTCTCTCTCTCTCTCTCTCTCTCTCTCTCTCTCTCTCTCTCCCCTCTCTCTCTCTCTCTCTCGTTCTCCTCCCCTCTCCTATCCCTCTCTGACTTCCACTCTTGTGGTTCACGTGCGTGCACGGGCACGCTTTCGCAGCCAAGTGATGCAACGCCGATGCCAAGGCATAGCTCAGGATCCCCTTGCTGGTCGCTACTGCTCCTACTCCTCATGCTCCTCGCCCCTCGCATCCCTCCCCGCACTCACGATCATAAATGCCGCTGGCGCGGTCGACAACCACGCCATTCCTGGAGGACGAGCTTACCGATGCAACGCGCGCAACTGTTTGTGGCGGGGCGCCGCGCGCGCACTCCGTGGGTATATCTGGGCGATCGCCGATGCGAGGAAACGAGCAGCTACGGGCAGCAGCAGCTACGGGCTGCAGAGCGCAAACCCACAGCATGCGAGAGGTTCAAAAATCACGGCAAGCGAACTTCGAACATCACGCGCGCAGAACTTCAAAGGACCACATGTTCCAACACGTTCGAGCCCATTGCTCGCAATCCCCATGCGATCACAGAGTGGATGGGGAGGTGGATGAGCAAAACATCGAAGGCCAGCGATTGAGAATCACATTAAACTTCTTCCTCCTCCTGATCCTCCTCCTCCTCCTCCTCCTCCTCCTTATCCTCATCGCCTCATCCTCATCCTCATCCTCATCCTCATCCTCATCCTCATCCTCCTCCCCCTCGTCCTCGCTGCAAGCTTGCCTGGATGCGCGAGCACGCGCATCCCCTCTACGCGAACGCGGCCTGGGCCGCGCGGACGCCATCCATCACGGGGCAGATCAGGTTCCAGACACGCTTGGCCTCAGCAGTCGCGCCAGCACGCGCGCCGAGGATGAGGAAGGTACAGCTGAATGATCATCCTCCTCCTCCTCCTGTTGCCCCGCCTCTTCCTTCCCCTCGTCTTCCCTCCTGATCCCCCCCCCTCCTAATCCTGATCCTCAGCGCCGAATCCCACGTGCAAATGATGTCCAACAGGGGGCGGCTGCGCCGCAAGTCGCATAGCGTTTCCTTTACTACTCCTGACGCTCATGTTGCTGCCAGTGCCATTGCTGCTGATCCTCCTCCCCGTCCTCCTGGATCCTCCTCCTCCTCCTCCTCCTCCTCCTCCTCCTCCCCCTCCTCCTCATCCTGATCCTCCCTCCCTGTGCTCCCAAGGGCTCGTGTGCCTCGGCCACGTTCTTCTTGCCATCAGCGACGCCGCCCTTCTCGTCCTCCGACCTCGCGCGCGGGGTGGCGGGGCAACCGGAGCGACGGGCCCAAGCCCAGCGGCGACAACAGCAACGGCAACAGGCGGGAGCGGGGGGCGGGAGGGTCTTTTAAGGGGACGGGGCGCACAAGGGCCCAAGGGAGGGGGGGGGGAGAAGGTCTTTTCAGGGGACGGGTCGGCCCAGCTATACACGCGCGGGGCGGGGCGGTCGACGTCCCCTGGATGATCTTCGTCACCTCCGTCTGTGACTTCTCCAGTCCCTCCAGGCTCATCTCCAGCTGTTTCTTGAAAGGGGCCAGCCACGCGTGGTTGGCGACCTCCCCCCCTCGGTGCAACGATCGAGACCCCAACAGCGAGGACGAGGGAGGCGGAGCAGAGGGGGGAGAGAGAACAGCCACGCTGTTCAGGGCGCACAGTCGATGGGTACTTTACTAACTCGTTTCACGAGCATCGTCAAGTTGCATCGATCATCATCGCATCCCTCACGCATCCTTCGAAGTGGCCTCTGCTCACGCACTGCAACTCTGCGCTAGACCCCCCCCCCCACCGTCACTCCGCGCAAGAGCGCGGTCAGGTTCGCAATCTCACCGAGAAGCATGCCCTGCTCAGACTTGTCTGAAATCGATCCCTGTTCGGCAGTGCTCTTGGACTTCTTTGCGCCACGGGTCTGCTCGGCATCATTCTCCTTGAGGCTCTCTCACCATCCCGCGAGGCCCCCTCCTCATCATCGTCCCTCATCTTCCACTTACGTTTGTCCTCCACCCTCCTCTTCCCCCCATCTCCTACACATGAGTTCGGCGGTGCTGTTATCGACCAGGGCAGTCCCCAACGGCGCGCCAACAATGTTTCGATGCAGGGGTGCATCTATATATATATATAACTGCATATGTATATGTGCGTGTACGTATATGCACACATTACTATGAACAGATGTACGTGCATTCATATAGATACCATTTTGAGGTCACGTCAATGGGCTCGAGGCCTGCCTCGGGGATGGAAAGAACGGCAGAGGATCACGAGGAGGGAGGTTGACGACGACGACGATGTGCCGCGGTAGCTCCGATTCGGAATCCTCGGTGCTGTCGCTGCTGCTCTGGCTGTAGCTGCCCTCGGACTTGACCGCCTGTCGGTCGCCAGCCCTTCTCATTCCTCCTTCCCCCTGGGAGTGGGCAAGACGTAGCGCTAATGTTGCCAAAACGGTGCACCCCTCTCTCTCTCAAGATCTCTCTCTCTCTCTCTCTCTCTCTACCTGTCTCCCTGTCTCTTGGGAGATCTCCGCCCTCGAGCGCCACCGCTTGATCGATGGATGTTCCCTCTCGTCGTCGTCGTCGTCGTCGTCGTCGTCACGGTCGTCGTCGTCGTGATCGTCGTCGTCGTTGTTGTTGCTATTTAGCAGCGTTCCACTCCTTCCTGCCCCCAGCCCCTGGCTCGCGGCAGCCTTCTTCATCCCCCGCAGCTTCGTCAAGCGGTCCTTAAGCTCGTCGATCGAAACTTTCTTGCTCTCGAACGTGGTGGACACCTTCTGCTGCTTGGCCTCGTGGGCGGGCGCGGGCGCCCGTACGTGCGCGCTAGCGGGGTCTGAGAACACGTGATCTAGTTGTGTACACTGTATGGCTCCCTCCATCTGTAGATCGATGATATCGCCCCCCCCCCCTCCCGTCGAGGCCTCCTCGTGCACCTCGTACGTGAAAGTGCGGCGGTAGAGCTCATCTCCTGTCTGAACGTCCACCTCGAGCGGGAGCCCAATCGAAGCAATATCGAAGCCTCGATTGGCCGATGCTCTCCGAATATCCCCCTCATCATCCGATATCCTCCGAAATATTCGTGTTCCTCCTGGTGCTATCCTCCCCCTCCTCCTCCCCCTCCTCCTCCTCCTAATCCTCTTCCTCCTCCTCCCTCCTCCTCCTCCTCCTCCTCCTCCTCCCTCCTCCTCCTCTCCCTCCTCTGGCCCTGCCACCATCGTGCCACGCTTCTGCTTCTTGCAGAAGTCCATCACCAGCCGCGCCCGCATGTTGGCCCTGGAATCGCACGCTCTCTTTACATGAGCCTCCTCCTGCCCTGGCCTTTCGCCTCCTCTTCCTCCTCCTCCTCCTCCTCCACTCTCCTCCCTGATCCTCATCCTCCTATATTCCTCTGTCTCCAGAGGACCTCTCCCCCGTTGGCGTGCTCTGGTTCTCCTCCGTCCAGCCGAAGTGTGCTCTCAGTTGGTCGTCGTTCATCCACTCAGAGCGGTTGCCCTTGATCTCCTTCCAGGAGTCCTCCTCGGTTTTGAAGGACTGCGCGAACTCGAATGTGCCTCTCTGGATCCAGCCCCCCCTCCCTCGGACCCTTCCTCCCAGTTGTCCCTCTGTTCCCCCCTGTGGTCTCAAGTGTGAAGTGGAATTCGGAGGCACTCCTGGCGCCTCCTTCGTCCGCCCACCTGCGGAGGAACTCCTTCTTTTCAACGCGGTTGCAGTCTTTCCACTTCTTGCGGAACTCGGACTTCTGGGTTTTCAGCGCCGTCCTCGGGCAGATTATGTTTCGTTCCGTCTCTCCCGTGTGTGTTGGGGCTGGTGATACGTTAACTTAGTTGGAATTGCAGGAACGCACCGGAGTCCTCATCCTTTGAAGCTGGCGCTCGTGATCTTCACGAGCTTTGCGCAATGCTTTTGCTCTCTCCTGGGAAAACTGAATTCCTGAACATGTGCGTGCGCGTCTGTATATGTACGTGACTGTGTGTGCGATACTCTACTTTAATATTCGCGCGCGTATGTAGGAGAGCCCGTGCCTGTATGCGAACACAGAAGTATGTGTATGTACGTATGCACACATGTCGCACACACACACACACTCGCGCGTCCCAACACATACATGGTCCTCGGCAAAACGTAGGTAGAGATGTAAGTACATGTAGACATTGTGCCTGTACACATATAGTTCTGTGTCGTATGCGTAGTTGTGTGGGCGTGTGTGTGTGTGCGCGTGCATGTGTGTGTGTGTGTGCGCGCGCGCGTGTGTGTGTGTGTGTGTGTGCGTGTGTGCCTGTGTCTGTGTGTATGTGTGTGTGTGTGCGTGCTCGCGTGCGTGCGTGTGTGTGAGAGAGTGCCTGCACGTGCGCATGTTCAGGAATTCCAGGTGGCCTTCTCCGCTTGTTTCTCCTCCGCGCTCTTAGGCGCCTTCGGCGGCTTCTTGTGCCCCTTCGGCGGCATCGCTCGCCTCGGGGAGCGGGCCGCGTGGCCCGAGCATTGGGCCCCC